TTTGTACTCTAATAAACTGATCCAAGAAAAATGTCTCCATCTTCACTTCCCTTAGCACTATATTCTAGTCTTAGTTTCTTGTTTGGAAACTTACTAGAATAAAGACAGATCCTACCACACATGAGTATAGTGACAAGATCATCAGCTATATCAGACTTTTGTACGATCTCTGCTGATGGAATGTCTCAACATCTGGTTGAACATCAGATCCTTGAAGTAGACAAAGCAGATCAGGGGCCTGATGCTTGTGCAACAACTGATGAGACACCTTGATCATCAACTAAGGATAATCCATTAAATATTTGAGAATATATCAAATAGAAATGAATCTTAAATCCTTATAATAAATCCTTCTCTGAACTTCAACAATCTTGAACTTCATGGATAACCAATTAAATACGTGTGTAGCCCACAAATAGCAATTGATCTTAAATTCACACAACTTCAGGAATACCAAGGCTGAAACATCAAGGCTGACACCCTTGACTCAACCTGCCTATGACTTCCTCCTGCTAATAGAGCCTTTGCAAGTCATGAGTGGTGAAAATAAATCACCTCCCACTTATCTTCTCTAAGACAACCTTTAGTAATCTGTAAGACAAAAATTAGAGCAGCATAAACAAATCAGCATCAAGCAGGATCAACAGCTTGTCACACCAAATAGAGCAGCAGCAAACACCATCTTCAAACAGTCTACACACTTGCCACAGCCATACATCAAACTGGATATCGGGCAATCTTTTCCCAGGGCTACCAGAGTTCTTTCATCAGAAAAAAATGCAGCGGAACCACCAAAAGAACATCTTCAACATGTCCTAAACAAGATGTCAGAACATCTTATAGGTCATGGGAGCTCCTATATCGGAGGGTACAGTAGCAGATACACAAAATCCTTCACAAGCAGGAGTGAACACACACTTCTCCTTAACTCCATAAGCAGTAGCTTAAACATTTAGCAAGATCAGCAAATTAGCTACAACTTCTCCTTGTTTAAACCACCAAAAAGTATCTCCCAAGATCTCATCCAGAACAGACAGGATGCCTGCTTTGATACCAATTAAAATTCTGGTATGCAGATCTCATATGTCCCAAGAACATTGATCTCTGCTCAACAAGGACGAGGACAAACCATGACCAATTTAAATTACTTTAAATTGTACCAATCTCATGACCAATGTCATGGCATCTGTTGTGACATCAGCAGACAGACAAACTATTTATCTAACCATTTAAATTGAGCAGAATTGTAAATGCTGAAAGATAAATAACACAATGAATTATTTACCCAATTCGGTGCAAACTCACCTGCATCTGGAGGCTACCAAGTCAGGGAGAAAATTCACTATTAGTAGAATTAATTCAGAGTCAAATAACCTGTTTGCACTCTTCATTTAAGATCTATCCAATGACACTTCAGCCTAGAGACCACTAGACCTGAGTACCCACTCACTCCCCCTCAATCACCGCAGTGATATTAACCAATTCAAGGTTACAAAAGAATCATGAAGTCACACTTCAAACAAATCTTGATTTTGCTTAACAGCTTTAAATCAAGAGACACAACACTCTAGCTTAAAAGCTTTGAGTGACACAGACAGCTTAACAATACTAAACCAATGCAATCATACAGAGATAATTGCTTGGTGTAAAAGTATTCCTAAGACACACAAATACACGTGAAGAACATAACTCTTCACTCACAAATACACTCTTGCTTAAAAGCTTTGAGTGAACAATTAGCATTGTACTAATAACAGCCTAAACATGCCTACCATTATGCATCCAAAGATATAAAGGGTGACTTACAAGGTCACACACAATGGACTCTCAAAACCCTAGAACTTAATTCTACGCTCAAGTTTTTCTTGTTGTGAGTGCTTGATTTTCGCTTGCTTATGTACCTCCTTTTATAGCAATGCAGACTGGGATTGGGCTGGTCAAAAGTAACAAACATTATGTTTAACCAAGTTAAACCACTTTCCATAATTCAAGGTGCTGTCAAATTAGGTTACAACTGCTTCATGTTATGTCCATCCCTGACTAGAATCTCGCCTGAGATAACTAAGGAGCCATAACAGGTTTCCTGAATTCTAGCCTGAGATATATCAGGTAAAATACCAGAAAACTAAAAAACGCGCCCTGATGTCATACGCTTGAAGTCATAACATCCAGCATGACATCCAACACACTTTGTTCTTAGCTGACCAAACTCACCCTGCTGAACACTCCTGCAGAATCTTCTTCACAACAGTAGAAACAAGCATATTATAGTTTCCTAAAAAGTCTCAAAGATCCTTTTTATGAACACTAATTAAATCTGCATTTTCATGTTGTGAATATCTTTGACCTTCACACACTTGATGAGATATATCCAACACGATCTCATCAAAACAAAACACCTATGTCAAGAGATATACAATAGCAGCACCTGCTGTACCAGACAACGATGTCATGACATTCAGTATGACATTCATGACAAAAGTTCTGTCATCAGCTCCTGCTGCACCAAACAGCGATGTCATGACATTGGTAATGACATCCTGTTTAAAAAACATGACAGTAGTACTGTCATCAGCTCCTGCTGCACCAGACAGCAATGTCATGATATTGGTAATGACATCCTATTTAAAACACATGGCAGCAGATGGATGTCACGACATTCAGCATGACATTCAGATTAAAACACACCATAGCAGCTCTTTCACCACAGCAGATGGAGATGTTATAACATCCTGCTTAACATCAGTGCAAAATCATATTTTACCAAAATTTAGCCAATCATAGAACCATGGAGAATCATAGAATCATGGAACTAAAAATATTAATATGAAATTATTTAAAAGAGAATGATTGAATAGAATAGAGATAAGTTTTAGTGAGATGAGAAAAATATGTGTTATTTTGGAGTAAGACAAGATAAATATTAATATATATATTTTTTAATTTATAGCGATGTGGGTCTAATGGACTATTCATGGCTCATATGGACTAGCCTTAATGGATATCAAACTTTTTAGGGCTAGGCTAAAAAAACCCTGAAAAATATGAGCTCAAATTTTAGAGAATTTATTAATCCACCCCTTAATACTTTTAGGCACCTAGTGAAATTTCTTTTATGCCACCTGCTTCCGGAGATACATATCCAAACACACCTTTTTCTTCTTTATGTTGGATGCTTTCGAAGATGCATCTACGAAAAAAGTTTCAGAGATGCAACTCCGAAATCTTATCAGAATAGGTTTTTAAAAATAAATCAAGTTTTGTTGGTCGCAGATGAAAATTAATTGTAGTAGATGAATATAAAATGACATACATCCGTAAATAAAATAATATCATATATATATATATATATATATATATATATATATATATATATATATATATATATATATATATATATATATATATATATATATATATATATATATATATAAAAGAAGTAATATGGTACATCAATGTCATAAAAAATATAGTACATCAAAGAAACATCACAGTCACTATTGTATGTGCCTAACCGCCTCGTCTGCCTCCTCGACCGCCCGGTCTGCGTCCTCGGCCATCGATCCTACCCGTCCTGGAGCGATGCCTGCGGTACATAAGTGCTCCTGCTACCACTGCAATGATTTCATCTAATACGCGCCTGTAGTCAGACCCATCAGGGAAGAAATCAACGGTAATGTCTGCCTGCCCCATCTCTACTATCTGACGACAGTGAGGCAGGACATTATGAGTGTGGTCTAACTAAGACTACCGCTCTTATAAGATCTCCTGATAAGCTGGTATGGGTGGTGATCCCTCGGCAATGGTCACTATGTAAGGGTGTGATACGGTGAAGAACCACATGATGTAGCCATCAACGCAGCTCCAGTATGTCGGTGATCTGCTCGTCCGAGCCTCGTCAGGTACCATGTGCCTCTAGTAGTTGACATAGATCTCCTCTATCTTCATACGGGTCAAAACGAGAGGAGCAGAGACAACTGGTTGTTTTGGAATGGTCTAAGTGTAGCCAAACTGCCGCATGACGCGCTCGGGCAAATATGGAACAGTGATGGTCGAACTGCATGCCAACCATCTTGAGAATAGGGAGATGTCATCAAACGGGCACGTCACATGGTGATCAACACAGACATCGTACCTGATGTCCTCAACAGCCAAGAAATCGAGATAGACTCTGTAAGGGTCGACCTCCTAGTTCCCCCTAAGCAGGAGAAAGGCACGGGCATGCGACATCTGCTTTGTGTAATTAGGTACACTCCCCCACCCGACGATCATGAGATTATCCAAGCCTGAAATGAAAATAAAAAACATCAGGATCAAGCATAATCTCGAATATAGAATGAAAAGAAATGAAAAAAAATCGAAGGATATAAGATTGTTACCACAAATAGTGCCACGCTCTCTACAACAGTCCTGGTCTTCCACAAGCATCCCTCTCCCAACCTCGAATATGTGTAAGACAGAATATTCATCCCCCAGTTGTACTCATGGATCCGTGTGGAATCCAAAAAGTACTTCAGGTAAGCGACATCCGTATATGTGGAGGAAGTGTCCACAAACAGCTAAGTGTCGACTAAAAATAGAAAATAACATCTCAACACACGTTATCTGTGTATCTCAACCTTAGCTAGATCACCATTTGCCTGACGTGTAGCAACGAGCGCCTCACCAAATCTACGGGTGAGAAAGGAGAACCTTACATGAGTCCCTCTGGTCTCATCCATCTCCTCCAGTGCATCCAGTGGATCAGCCCCAAGCTCCTCGACCAACATCTCTCTCGCATCCTCCTTCGTCATCCTACCGTGATGGGGGAGGGTACCCATGATTGGTATATGTAGCAGATAGGAGATGTCGTCTAGTGTGATCGTGAGCTCATCGTGCGATAGATGGAAGGAGTACGTCTCAGGGTGCCATCTCTCTGCAAAGCCCATCAGTATCCCGTTGTGGATCACGCTGTAACTGATCTCATAAAGGTCCTTCAAACCAGAGGCGACAAGGACATCCTAGAACCAAGCCTCATGTGGCTGCTCCAAAGATAATATCTTCTGCCCGTGGTTATAGAACTTCTGTGTCTGACGAGTCTGAAAATTTCCATAAATAAGAAATAATGTTAATAATAAACAATGATATAAATTATAAATTTCCAATGAAAAAAAGAAACAATATGAGTAATGTTACCTCTTCATCCCAGACATGTCTGGCAGTATGATCGGCGTACCCTGTCAGCATGGACATATATGAGGGACCCCCTGGGATACCCTCAGGTTCATTATTGTCGTCGTCATCAACATCCTCCGATGGTGGGTCATCATCCTCTAGAGGTGGCACCATATCAACATCAGGAGGAGAATCAAAAGTATCCCAACGAGGCCTGTGGTGAACCTTCAGCTGAATCTCGACGCCTCTGGGATGAAAAAGTGGATGAGATGGGGTGTGATACGAGGTCGAGGGAATGTCCTGGGCATGCGATGAAGAAAGATATGCCTCAACTATATCGGCTTCGGTAACTGTGGCCTGACTCTGCTCTTGTCTCACAAATGCATGCTGCGAAACTCGTCCAAGTCGCAATCTATCTTCTCTGTCTGCCATAATGTCTGCAAGGTATAACCAATAAAAAACAATTAGATACAAATAAATTTAAAAAGAAAAAAGAAAAAAGAAAAGTAACATTTTTTTTACTTCCGGATGTATAAATACGGAAAAACCCAGAATTCAAAAAGTTTGATTTGTTCCAGAGCTGCATCTACGGAATTGCCCTAACGTTAATTTGTTTTGTTGATGTAGCTCCAGAACTTCCTGCAACTCCAACAGCAACGTCAATCGCGCCCCCACCCATGAAAATCGGTTTTTTGAACCCCTGATCGTCTGTTTCAGCCAACAAACAATACATACATCGTCTCAAAACTATGTTTCTAAAACTATCTCACGATTTCTACCCCTAAAACTATATTCTAACTCATTTATGGAAATACTCGAAAATATCTCGGAAACTCGAAAACTTACCGATTATATCGAGCTTTGAATTATTTGCAGTGTTTTGATCGTTGAGATGAATGCTTCTTGTCGAACTTGATTGAAAACAACTAAGTTTGGCGGAAAAAGTTTTTTTTTAAGGATTGAGAGAGTATGAAGAGTTTGAGAGTGAGAAGATGAAAAATAAAAAATGAGGGAGGAGAAAGGACTCTGACGCGAATGTATTCTAATTTGTTCCGGAGCAATATAAACGAAAATATTCCGTAAATGTAGCTTTGAAAAAAACCAACGTTAAATAAAAAAAGATGTGTCTAGAGATACATCTCTAAAAAATATGATGTATTTTTAGAAGCACACATGGTGTCTAAAAACTCCAAAAATTAAATAAAAAATTCTCAAATTTTAAAAGATAAACCCTATAATTTTTTAGGCCTGATCGACTGACCCATATAAATTAATCTATTTTAACAACTCTACGTAAGTGCCAGTGACAGCGAAGCCCTTTCTATCATTTGTTTGCAAGTAGGGCTGGAAATGAGTCGAGTCGAGTCGAACTCACCTCAGCTCGGCTCGACTCGTTAAGAATTGTTCGAATTCGAGTTCAACACGAACTTTTTTTTAAGCTCAAACTCGACTCGTTATAAGTTTACGAACAATTCGGTTCGACTCGTTAGGTTCATCTCATTAGGTTCAGCTCACATGGTTCACGAACTTAAAAACTATTTTTTTAAATATATATATATATATATATATATATATATATATATATATATATATATATATATATTTTAATATATTTGACATTTTAAATAAATATATATATTTTTAAATAAAATATTAAAATAAAATAAAAGTTATCATATTGAAATTTAATTTTATCTTCGAAATCTACTAATTCAAAACCTACACAACTTTCAAGAGATACATTTGAGAGTCTAATTCAAAAACTACTAAATTGAAGATTAAATTTGTCAAAGATTTGAAGTAAATATTTAAACCTAATCTTAAAGACAGTATAATTCTTTTCATATGTAATCGAGTTGACTCATGAACCTAACGAGTCGAACTATGTATAGTTCAAGTTCAGCTCATTTAGTTAATGAACTTAATTTTTCGCTCATACTCAACTCATTTGGTTCATGAACCTAGTTCAACGATTTAATTATCGAGTCGAATTCCGAACTATCTTCGAGTTAGTTTGCTTCATTGCCAGCCCTATTTACAAGCGTTAATAGGAGTTAAACGCTATGTCCGAGTTCCATTTGTTTTTGAAATATGGAGGAAGAGTTGATTACAAAAGTTAGAAAATTTGATTATTTTGATAAAAATTTCTAAACTTTAAATTGATATTATTAAAGTTTTTTCTCTCAATATCTACATAATTTGGAGGGAGATTCATTTAAATTGTAATTGATAATAAATTGTTTTGAAAACATATCACTATAAAATTTATGATTTAGACGACAATCAAAAATCATTGTTGGAAAACAGAAAACATATAACTTTTAGATTATTTGCACATATCAATGCCTTTTGTTTTTCTAATATTATTATTTCTTATTTATATATAATACTTTTAAATATTTATTATTAATTTTATTATTTTTATTTATAATAAATTATTAAGAATATTATTGAAAAGTATATAATTGCATTAAAATTGAAAATTTACAAATAAATAGAAATAAAAATATTAATAATATATTCTTTTTAAAAATAAATTTAAAAGATATTCATTCTATCTTTTATTGAGTGATCTATTTATACAAATAATTATTTCAAAACAAACTATTTATTTCAATTTTCCATGTAATATTAATTTCTATTTTAACTATACTCACTAATTAATACTTTTTTTCCAATTTAATCTTTTCAATTTTGTATCCCCAAATTTAGTAAAGATATTTTAGACAAAAATATTTTTTCTCTTTTTGAATTTATACACTAATTTTTAGTATGTGTGAAAAATTCAAATAAATCTTCGCTTCAATTAAACAAGTTAAATAATTCTCCTCTCTCTCACCAGCAATCTTACTTTATATAACTTCTTTTTCTTCTCCTTAAAACCAATAACCCCATTTTTTACAAAACTTATCGTCCTTTTCCAATCATATTTTTTCACTGATCCATCTTTCAGTTTAAACAACTTTCATAAAGTTATTTTTTCTCTTTTGATCTAAAAAAATCCTCTTTGATAATTATATTTTTTTCTAATTCATATACTCCTTTTAAGTGCCAGTATCCATTAAAACAACAGGGGGCATATACGAACTTGCCTATTTAAAAATAAGGTAGTAGTTCGTTTTCATAAGAAACAAAAAAAAAGTGTTAGTTCGAATGCCATAATGGCAACCTATAAGCACTGACAAAAAGAAATGATGCATGTTCGCCACTGCATGCCCTTTCTCTAACTTACTAAAGGCTTTAAAAAACCAAAAAGAAAAGAAGGAGAAAGGCATGAACTTTCAAAATCTATATTTAAATTAAATAGTGCAAAGGGTTTGCACTTTGCAGAGAGGAATATAATGCAAATATATATACTCCTAATCTTATAGTAACATTATCGTGGTACGTAGCCATTATGACGTTATCAGCATGTTAGCCTCACGTCAGCAAAACTAATAACATCCATTTTGGTTCTTCTATAGTTCTAATCACTCAAACTTGTTTTTTATATATATTTTTTTACTATAAGGGCTATTTCAATGTCATATCTAACCAATATTATTGTTATTAATCTTAACTCGTCTAATCTTATCATGCATCAAATGTATCATCTTCATATCTATGTTACATTCGGTTCATTTTCATATTGGTTCTTTACCATCTAACATTATGTTTTGTACAAGATTGTCGGCTAACAAGTGTCATATCACATAAAAAGACTTGAGCATTTCCTCCATTTCAACCGCTCAACTTATATTTGATGGTTTACGTTCTCTTCTATTTGTCCATCGTTTTGTACTATAGATTTATGATATTTAAAATGTGTATCTTGTGGTAAAATATGAATTCCAACTTTCACCTTTAGGTTAGAAACACTTGTCATTTTGCTGAACTTACATTTCATATACTTTATCTTACTTCTATTTAAGAAAAAGTCATATATTTTTAAAGTTTGTTTTCAAGCCTCCAATCTCTTATTTAAATCTTCATTCGACTATCAAGATAAGACTATATCAATCATTTAAAAAAATCACACATCTCAGTGCTAACTCTTGACTATATAAACACATAATTGGCTTGACTTTTCTACAAGTAAAAAAGAATTCTTTCATCAATTTATCTTGTCTAAACTTCATAACCAAACAATTTTACCATCAATTTTTCTAGCCCATACGTCATAACCAAACAATTCTTCCATCAATTTTTTTAGTCCAAACATCACGACAAAATTTATTGGTGATGAAGTGACTTTACAAGAAGGAAGAGGGATGAATTATGTTATATGATTTTTGAAAACTTCTTTAAAAATATTTATTTTAGCTTAATCAATTTTAAAAGAGAAAATGAAGCAGCAAGTTAAGTGAACAAGATAAATTCCACAAATATAAAAGATAAGAGTTAGGAAAGAGCATGCCAAAATTTATATTGATTATCGGTTAAACCATGTGGCCTAATCAAGTCCCCAAGAGTTTCTCCATTGAGATTTTCACTAATAGCTTGAGCTTTGATCATATGATTATCCCACAACCTCCTTACATCAAGCTTTTACTCAATTTCTTTTTGAAACCTTTATATCACTTAAAATGTCACAAGAGAATTGAGTTCTTGATTTACAATTATAACATAATTTAATTTAAACAGCAAAATTACACAACTTATAATTTAAGTATTTTGCAATCTCAGCACTAAAATAATGAATGGTGTATAAATACAATCGAAGAGACTGAACAGTAGAGAAGAATATACAATCATATTTCCATGCATGGAAGAGTGCACGAGGACTCTTTAATATAGGATAATTTTTTTTCTAAAAACAAAATAACTCATGGGCTGAGACCGCTTCTAGTCGATTAGCCATCAATTTAAATTATACCAAACAAATTTGGAATCAAATTAGACATATTTAGAGCCTAATCAATTAAGAGGATTTCTAATTTGATTGCGTGTCACGCTTGCTTCTTAGTCGATTAGATACAAGTTCTATTTGATTACAGAGTGAGATTTCACTTTCCTAATGGGTTATGACGCTTCCTAATTGATTAGTTAATTTTCATAATTTATTTTAAGAAACATTTTGAAATATATGAGGTTTATAAAATAATTTTGAGTGTGTATGTGTGTGTGGGAGGGGGTGCATTGCCTTAGTGCTTTCATAGCAAGTCACACTTATTTGCATGTTATTGATCCTAAATAGATAAAATTACAATCAAACATATGGTCAGGAGAGTTTTCGAAGACTTTGGTTTTGATGTTGATTTTTGCATTTGTCTATCTTTGTTCTCAACACCGTCATGTCTTTTGGATTTTTCTTTGTTATTTGAGTGTGTTATTGGATTAACTGAACACTACCCTGCCCCAGGTTGAGTGTAAGGGTTTAAAGATCTGAAGGAAACTGCTACTTCTAGGCTTGAAGTGGTTAACTAGGGATTAACTCCTTGTCTCTCTAGTGT